TGTTCTCCGGCCAACAATTCCATCGAGGCCGCCTGGTCGCTGCTTCCTATCCAACGCGAGTCCCTTGATCGCCTTCCTGGTTCTCTCCCAAGCCTCTCTCAATCCCAGCGGGTCCTCCACGATCCGCAGCATCTTTCCTCTCTCTTCTGGTGTTCTCACTCTCCCTAGATCGTGGGATCTCGCTGCCGGCGAGACCGCCTCCGTCGTGATCTGAGATCGCCATCCGGTCGCCCCGACAGGGGGTGCGGGAATCACGGTCATCCTATTCGTATCCGGAGCAATAGCAGAAACAAATTAACCAACGCATGCATTTGACTCGATGCAAAACAAATTAACCACATATACAACAAAGTTAACTCTAACAATCACTCCCTTAACCTTGTTGTCACTTATTCCTCCCTTGAAGCCCATGGTCACTTATTCCATGTGTGCTCTTCTTCTACCTTAAGCTCTTGTGCGTGTGTCTTCTTCTTCTTCCCTGGGCTGCTCCAACAGGGGACATGCCGAGGGATGTGACATTGTTTGAACAATAACCAGTTCGGCCATGAAATTCCTAATGAAGTTTTGCAGAGCAAAAGCCAAAAGGGCTCTGAAAAATGTTCTCAAGAATCACTTTCCGACGTGTCACCCAAATCATCAACAGAGCGACCTGTTGAGGGATGTGACAATGTTTGGACAATAACGAGTTCAGCCATAAAATTGCCAGTGAAAGTTTGCACGGCAAAAGGCCTCTGAAAGATGTTCTCCTGACTCATTTTCTTGCATGTCGCCCAAATCGCAATAGAGCAACAACACCTTTGACAAACCAAGAATGTGATAATGACTCCATTAAGAAGAAAAACCATTGATTCGCGCCCCTGCACTGCCTGACAGAGATATGCTTGGAAAAATCGTCATCTACGAGGGCACAAACACTTTGAGCCCTTGCTCAAGGAATGGTGCCAGTGGTCTTCAGGGGCGTGACAGAATCAACGTACGATGGTAGGGGCCATAGTCCGGCGGTGTCAGATAGTTCACATTTGGGGATAGAATGTTGCACAAGCCTAGAGAGAAACACCTTGATCTTGCTTGGGACTTTGGTCTTCCACATACAACACCATTGTTTAAGTTTGACCATCGACGAGGAATCCACCCTCAATTCTTCATGAACTTTTTTTTGTGGTGAACAATAATATGTATGTCGACCTAACAATGAAGACTCCGGAATTTTTGAAGTGTGAAGCACAAAGATCTGAACTACGTTGATCTTTTTGTTTACCTTTGTACGAATAATAAACCTGTGAGCTTGACTCCAAGTATCAAGATCTACAAAAGAACTGGAGAAGATGTGCCAAGAACTTGACAAAGAGCATATGGAAAATGACCGACCGGAACAAGAGAGGGTTGCAACGGGAGCTAGGCTTTTGAAACTGACTGAACTTCAAATTTTCCTTACAACTAAGCATTATTGTGGAAATCGTTAACTGGTAGCTGCTCCGTTGGCTGGTGAGTAGGGGATTAATCGACTAATCGGCAAGTTAATCGGTCATTTAATCAATTAATCGAACGATTTATCGGTTTATAGGCTACTCGGTGACCCTACGAGTAGGGATTAACAGCAAGTTAACTGGTTAATCGGATGAATTCTTAAACACAGTAACTAAGAATATATGATCCAGACAGACATTTGTGGAGAAAATGCACTCATGACAAAATGATTGCAGAATTGCGTCTCTCCAGAATCTGCCAAAAAAGCATTGGAAGAGAAGGACGCAGAGGTAGCCAGCGCTGCTACTTCTTGAGTTTGCGTTGATTTTTTCCTTTCAAGAGGAAAAGGTGATGTAGCAAAGTAGAGATAAGTATTTTCCTCAGTTAAGAACCAAGGTATCAATCCAGTAGGAGGCACAAACAAGTCTCCAATCTATGCACCTGCCAAAACTAACAAACACTTGCACACAACGCGAAAAAAGGGTTTTCAATCCCTTCACGGTCACGAACAAGAGTGAGATCTAAAACAGATAGGCATAAAAGATAAATAAATGAGAAAACTAAAGTAAATATAAATAAATTGCAGCAAGGTATCTTTAGTTTTTTTGGTTTATAGATCTGAAAATATATGATGTAAAATATACCCGAGGGCTATAGGTTTCACTAGAGGCTTCTCTCTTGAAAGAAAACATACGGTGGGTAAACAAATTACTGTTGAGCAATTGATAGAAAAGCGCAAAGTTATGACGATATCCAAGGCAATGGTTATGAATATATGTATCACGTCCGTGTCAAGTAGACCGACTCCCGCCTGCATCTACTACTATTATACCACACATCGGCCGCTATCCAGCATGCATCTAGGGTATTTAAGTTCGTAAAAACGGAGTAACGCCTTAACTAAGATGACATGATGTAGAGGGATAAACTCAAGCAATATGATGAAAACCACATCTTTTTATCCTTGGTAGCAACAATACAATACATACCTCGCAACCCCTACTTTCTCACTGGGTGAGGACACCACAAGATTGAACCCAAAACTAAGCACATCTCTCATTGCAAGAAGAACCAATCTAGTTGGCCAAACCAACCCGATAATCCGAGATGGACGCGCGTCGCGTGGCTTTGCCGTTGCCGACCTGCCAGCCACCCGCCCACCCGAACCAAACCAAACCCGCGGTCCATATCCAGCCCGACCCCGCCAGCTCAACTCCCTTTTGATTTCCACCGCCCAGCGCCCACCCGTCCGCCAGCGCGGCGAAGCCGTGTCCAGTAAGGAACCGGTTGGCGCCAGGCCAGCCTCCCCCACAGCCTTCACGGCGGCTATAAAACGTGCCCTGGTGCGTCCTCTCCTCCCCGCTCTCCGGTCTCGTCTCTCCTCTAACCTTTCTCGTTCGTGACAGGCCGCACCTCCGCTCTCGCCTCCTCGCGTTTGCGCGACTGTTTCCTTCCCCTTCCAATTTCTCTTGTCCACGTGACGATTCATCGCGTCTGATTTGATTTCATTCACTCGTCGTCGCCGTTGCCTTGCTGTGCTCGCAGGGTATTCTAGTCTGGCATGTCTCCTCCGCCTCCGTGCGAGTTTGGGAAGTGATCGATCGGGGGATTCATCCGTTTGGTTTGCGAATCTATCTCAGAACCTGTTTTGTGTGTTTGCAACTGTGGGTCCCGTGTTTCCCGTATTCGCATCCGTGGGCATTGCAAGAAGAACCAATCTAGTTGGCAAAACCAACCCGATTTGGCTGTGTTGGAGAGTGCAGCGTTCGTATTCAATGCCCACTACAGCAAAAACTTTCAGCTTTTGAGTGACCTTTCGTATACCAATCGTGTGTGGCAAAAATTTAGACATCGGCTTGGCTCATGACGAGGCGAGGCGGGCGAAGAAGGAGGAGCGCGCGTGGATGTCCCTCTTGTTCTCATGCTCATACATGTGGGAAAAGAACCTCCCTTATAAAGAGATCCAACTGCCACCAAACTAGCAATGTGGGACTAATAAATTTAAGTTCCACCTCTTACCTTGCACGAATGGGCTGCGTGAGCCTCTAGGATTTATTGGAAATTTCTAAAATTGTTATTGGGTTGGCCCAAAATATAGAAAAAACTGCAGCAGTAAAGCCAATGTATGAGGGAACAAAAATGCTACACCTACTTAATGTCTTACAGAGCTTTACGTAAATCCTTTGCA